TGTCATGCCGCCGACCGCTCGACGTGCTCCGCCTCGTCGACGCGCGAGGCCGCGCCTGCCAGAGCATGGTTTCTTTGTTTAGATCCGTAAGGGCTTCGCCCCCTGCCGCCGGCCCCCGTTCTCGGATCATGGGCCCTGGAAGAGCTGAATCACGAGGTCCGGGCGCCGCCGTGAAGCAGTGTCGGGACATGTCTGTTTTTTGACCCCGACCCTACGGATCTGCGTCACAGGTGCCACCGAATGTCAGAAATGTCCAAATCCCATATGTGTTGGGACCCGACCCTGACGCTACGGATCTGCGTGAGGGATGCCGCCGAATGTTAGTGCGGAGTGTGCTTGCAAACGGGCACGGGATTGAGGGACCCAACGGCGTCTTCACCATGCTCCCCTGTATTCCACTATATATTCGCTCAAGCTTTCACAGGTTCGCTCGCATGGGCCTCCCGCGTGGGCCCCTGGCAGCCGCGGCGGCGGCCGCGGTCCATGGGCTGCTGGCGTTAGGGCTGTGGAGCTCGACGCCCGCGCCTGCTTGCCCGCAGCCGGTGTGCCCGGCGCCATTCTGCCCGGCGCTGGTCTGCCCCGACTGTGTGTCGGTGGCCGGCGCGCCCGACCCGGGGCCGCCGGGTGGCCCTGCGGCTCTCGGCCTGGGCGAGGTGCCCGAGGAGCTGGCGGAGATCCGCTCGGCGGCGCTTCGCCTGGAGGAGCAGCTCGCCTTGGTGCAGGCGGCGCTGGAGGCCGCTTGGAACGCCTGGCCGTTGCTCTGGGTGCTCATCGGTGGGGCGGGCAGGGATCTGCTCGGTCGCCTGACCGATAGGTGCCGTCGGCGTCATGCTTTCGAACAGGAAGTACCAGCTGTTCTCCTCCAGCGGCCTCGTCGTGCCGGAGGAGGAGTTTATGCGTGAGATGAAGCCGGGCAAGCGGTTTGCCCTTTGGTATGAGGACGACACTTACTGGCACGAGCGGGTCGCGCTGGCGGAGGTGCGGCCAGGGGTGTGGATCATCACCACTCCCGATGGGCATCGCTACTCTGAGAATATCAGGTGCCGCCGGGGTACTTCCGGCGCGGTGCAGGCGGTGCATCTCGTCCCTGATGCCGAGCTGCTGGAGCCGATGAAGGGGCACTTCTACCGGTTTCGCACCGCGTTCGACGCCGCGGACCTGGAGCAGATCAAGCTGGCCGAGGGCGAGTACTATGGCATCACTCGTCGTCGGCGGCCGTCGCCTGAGGCCATTGCCCTGTGGGACGGGAGTGAGGTCGAGTATCAGGCGCTGATGGACTCGGACGGGGCGCAGCTGGTGCCCTTGGCTGGGGACGACGGTGAGGCGAGGCCTGCTGTCGCGCCGGGCGCCGCGGCTCTGCCGCTGGCCGCGCCCGCTGGCCCGCCGCCGGACGTCGCCTGGCTCATCGTCGACCCGCTCCACCCTGATTTCGGTCGGGAGCGCCATCCTGCTCCAGACGCCGAGATGGCAGGTGACTACGCCATGGCGTTGGACGCGAGTCGGCGGCCGGTGCCAGTGAAACGGGTGCCGATCGCCGACGTGGCCACCTTCTTGGACACGGTGCACATGACGGTGCGCAAGATCCTGGACGAGGAGGGCGCCGCCGTGAAGGCGGACAAGGGTCTGGAGGGCCGCCTGAGCGAGGCCCTGGACGGCGGCACCAAGACCCCTCCTGCGGGCGAGGACGCGAGGACCTTGTCGGTGAGCTACGACGAGCACGGGGAGCGGCACAAGGACTGGCGATCGGTCTGCGCCGAGATCTCGTTCAGCCACTTCAGCGACTGGGAGAAGCACCACGAGGGGCCGGCGACCACGCTCGCGTTGTTCAAGAACATCCAGCGCCAAGGGGGAGATCCTCGCCTGTTCTATCCCATATGGTGCCGGGGCGCGGGCGTCAGCCCTCAGGAGCGCACGGGCATCGAGATGAAGCTCCTGCTGGACATCCTGTACCTGAGCGGCTGCTACGACCAGGTCAACGGGCCATCGTTGGCGAGCATCGAGGCCGTGTCGAGGAGGGTGTGCCAGATCATCGAGGCGTACTCCACTGGCGCTCCTGGCCGCGCGAACTGGGAGGGCGTGAAGCACTTCATGCCTCTGGCCAACTCGGCCTCGGTGGTGCCGCCGGAGCTGCGCTCGCATGCCCACCGCCGCGCGAAGGAGGAGGTGGAGATCGAGAACATGCGCATGAAGGCGCGCGGGCTGCATCCGGGTGCCGGCGCTGAGGGCAGTCAACCTGTCCTTCCTGGCGCAGGCGGAGGCGGAGGCGGCCGCGGCGGGGGGCCCAAGGGCGACCCGAAGGGCGGAGGACGTGGTCAGCCCAAACAGGGAGCCGGCGCGGAGGCGGAGAAGGTGAAGTTGCCGGGACAGGGGTGATGCTCGGGGCCGGCGCCGACCGTGGTCGAGTCGACGCTGGAGGCCCAGACTCGGTGGCAGGTGACAGCCGTGTGAGGCGCGTTGCCATGCTGCCGCTCTTTCCAATTCCCCTCTCCCCGGCACCTGCCGTGCCCAGCGGACGTGGCCGACAGGCTTCTGGCCTGCGAGGCCATTTGCGGAGACTGAATGCTGATGTCAACGCAACTGTGAACGCTTTGAATTGGATGGCTGGGGACCGGCATCGCCCCGAGTACGGGCCGCCGCGTACCTCAGAGCAGGCTAGTGTGCATGCGCGCGTCAGAGACCGGATCTCTTCCCTTTTGACCTCAGGCGTCGCGATCCCTAGCCGGCGAGCGGCTTTTCTCGAGCTGCTGCGCGGCCGGGCTGTGTACGATGCAGAGCCCGGTGGACACAACCTTGCCAGTTTCTCCAATGTCTCCTCTGTGAGCCTGCCTGACAGCCTCGTCGGCGCCCCTTCGGTGCAGGAGGTTGTGGGCCCAGAGGCGAGCCAATTCTTGGAGCAGAACTACGAGCGCATGCTGCGCACCTCGACGGACTTTTTGGAGCGACAGGAGTCGCTGCCCTCTATAACTCCCTATTGGGACCCTGTGCTTTCTCGCAGCCGCCGCAAGTTTCTGCGGCTGATGCGGGCGCTTCTGCGGATTGGACTGGTCACGCTTTTGCCAGCTGGTTCGGCGCAGGAGCACGTCGGTATGTTCTTTGTGAAGAAGGCCGGTAAAAGTAAGAGTCGGCTCATCATTGATGCTCGTCGTGCGAATAGGCGTTTTGCTGATCCCCCTGGAGCCCACCTCTGTTCGTCAGAGAGCCTCGCGAGGATCGAGGTTTCTCTTCCGCCTGGTTGCTCTAGTCCTACTCCTGATCAACTTCGTAGCGCCCAGATGTGTCTGGGGCTGGCGGATGTTAAGGACGCTTTCCATCGGTTTCGTCTTCCCTTGGGCCTGGCGAGTTACTTCGGTTTGGGTGCCGCCACAGCAGGGGAACTGAAGGTCGTGGGAACCAATGTTGGCGGGAGCGTCTTGGGTGTTGATGACCAGGTCGACATATGTTGGGCTTCTCTTCCTATGGGTTTCTCTTGGTCACTCTACTTCTGCCAGCAAGCGGGTGAGCATCGTATGGCTAATGTTCCTGGTCTTCGTGATTCTGTCCTCCTTCGTGATCGTGGTCGGCCTGGGGTCTTCAGGTTTGCTGAGAAAGGCGAGGGCGAGAAGGGGGGGCTCGTCTTGGAGGGCTCCGGGATATGTCACTACATCTACGTTGACAATCTGGGTGTTCTCTCTTGTGATCCCTCTCATACCTCGTCCATCCTGTCCGACGCGGCGGCTCGTTTCGAGAGCGTTGGGCTCGTGACCCACGAGCACGAGGTGAGTGCCACTTCGTCGAAGGCCCTGGGGGCCCACATAGACCTCGAGGGCCTTAGAGTTTCTCTTGCGCCCGCTCGACTGTGGAAGGTGCGCCAGGGTGTTCTGTATGCCTTGTCGTGTCGGAAGCTGTCTGGACGTGTCTGGGAAGTGCTGCTGGGCCACCTCACCTTCTGCGCGCTGATCAATCGTAGCATGATGAGTGTCTTCAGGAGTATCTATGCCTTCATAAATAAGTACTACGCTACCCCTATGCCGCTGTGGGACACCGCTAGGCAGGAGATGCTGACCGCTGCCTCCCTCCTGTTCCTGATGGATGCCTCGTGGACGCTGCCCTGGTCCCCTGGTGTCGTGGCCACGGACGCTTCGGAGGAGGGGTTCGGGGCCACCGTCTCAGAGTGGGGCCCTCAGGACGTCTCGGAGGTGGGGGGGATCCTGGAGAGGGGCCGCTTTCGGAAGCTTCCTGGAGTTTCTGCCCGGTCGAGGTTTTTCGGGAGTCTTGAGGAGCTTGGATCTGAGGCGGACGAGGGGGAGTTCGACAGGCCGTATGAGGTGGACTCTAGCTTCCCGGAGGTCCCCCACAAGCTGCTCACGCAAGCCCACTGGAGTACCCTTCTGGCGGGTCCCTGGAAGTACTTTGACGAGGGCCTTTTCACCTTGGAGGCTAGGGCCCTGGTCCTGGGATTTCAGGCGCTGGTGAGCGAGTGCCAAGTCAGGAACGCGAGGGTGCTCTTCTTGGTTGATAACATGGGGGTGTGTCTAGCCTTCGCTCGGGGGCGCACCGCGGACTTCAGGGCCCTGATGCGTATGAGACGCATGGGGTCGTGGTGCTTGGCCCTCGGACTGCGAGTCTGTTTTCGCTGGATACCTTCCGAGTGGAATACTGCGGATGAGCCGTCCCGTCGGTTTTCGGTAGAACATGTTGGCTCACGTGCTGACCTTGACTCTGTTGGCCCGCACTGTTCCTGAACCACTCAGATGTGATGGAGAGGGGCCCCAGGTTGGAACCTGCCCGCGCCGTGCCGCGGGCGAAGGCGCAATCAGGCCGCCTGCCCCGCGGGTCGACGACGATCCCCGCGGCGCCCGTGGTCTCGAGGAACCTGGTGACGTTCACGCCGGCGCCCGCGACTGGCAGGGCGACCCGGGCCCGCCGTCTGGCGTCCGGGGGCGCGCTGGTGGCGAAGCTGGAGCAGGCCCCGAAGGAGAAGGAGCAACGGACGCTCGACGAGTTGAGCGATGGAGAGGTGACAGACAAGGACGACGAGAGCGACGCGACCTCCGACACCGTGAAGGTTCAAGTGCGGCCGGCTCGCCGAGTGCGAGTCTTGGCGGCCCCGCGGGTCGGGCGAGCGCGCCAGCCGGTGGAGGCGAAGCGGCTGCAGGGGCTGGGTCTTCTGCCGCTGGAGTCGAGCGCGGTTCAGTGGAAGACGGAGACCGACTACTACGACGCGGTGAACGCTTGGCGGGCTCGAGCCCGCGAGCTGGGCGAGCCTCTCGGCGTGGCTGCCGAGGTGGACGCGTCGGTGGTGCGGCAGCTGCAAGAGCTTTTCGACCAAGGCGAGAACCTCAGCAAGGGCGAGAAGCTCGTGGCCGGGCTGGAGCACTTCCTGCCCGAGTTCGGGCGGCATGGAGGCCTTCATCTTTCCCGGTGCTACCGGGCTCTGAAAGGCTGGAGACGCCGCTGCCCGCCACGATCGCGCCGCCCCCTGGCCTTCAGCATCTGGGCAGCCATCATCTGGGAGCTGTGCCGCGCGAACTTCTGGAACATGGGGGTGTACACGCTGTTCATGCTGGTGACCTACATGCGGCCCTCGGAGCCCCTGAAGCTGCTGAAGGAGGACCTCCTCGCCCCGGCGCATGGGCTCTCTGCCTCGTGGATCTGCTTCGCCTTCCGGCAGGAGCGGGGAGCGGCGTCCAAGACGTACGCGACGGACGAGAGCATCGACCTGAGCTGCAGGTGGGTGCCCTACCTGACGACGGTGGTTGCTGCGCTGCGAGCAGGCGACCCCAAGGCCAAGGTCTTCGACTTCAAGTACAGCAGCTACACGCGCCAGTTCAAGATCGCCTGCAAGAAGCTGGGGCTGACGGCCGTGCCTTATCAGGCAAGGCACTCAGGCGCCTCCATCGACGCCGCCATGAAGTATCGCACCCGGGCAGAGATCAAGAGCAGGGGACGGTAGAAGGCGGACAAGTCGGTGCTGAGGTACGACAGCAAGGCCAAGATTGTCGAGAGCGTCGACAAGCTGAGCGCCTCGTTGGCGTCTCACGTGCACAGGTGCGAGCTCCAGCTCGGGCCCCTTTTGTGCGGCCAGATCGACCCCTCGGCCATCGCACCGCCCGTCATCCCGAGCTCGGCCCCAAAGAAGCGACGCCGTACCTAGCCGATCTTTTTGGCGGCACAGGCGGTGTGGGCCGAGCAGCAGGCAGATGCGGTATTCGGGCTCGGCTGTGGGACAAATCTATTTCAGACTATTTGGATCTGACACTTCTGAAGAACATCCAGCTTTTGTGCTCGGAGGCCAAAAATGGTAAGTTGGTTGCAGCCATGATCGCTATCGAGTGCCGCTCTTGGGGCATCGCTCGTCACAGAACCAACGTGATCCGTTCGCGTACTGAGCCCTGGGGTGTTACGAAACCAACCAAACCCTTCTCGGCCAATGATCTGGAAGCCCTTCGGACCGGAAATCTCCAGGCCCGCAGGATCTTCAAGCTCATTCGGTACATCCACGCCCTGGGCATCCCGTGGGCCGTCGAGAACCCAGCGACAAGTTTACTTTGGTGGGTCCCAGGCTTCATCCAGTTCGCGAACGATCCCAAGGTGCATGTTAATATTATCGACCAGTGTGCCTTTGGAACGCCGTGGCGAAAGCGTACCCAACTCATGTTCGGCAATTGCGACCCCTTTGATGTCAACTTGTGCGATAAGTATATGTGCCACGGTCGGGGGACTTGCTGTTTCACTGGAAAACCTCACGTGGAGCTGGAGGGCAAACGTATGACATCCCAGGCCCAGACTTACCCACCCCGTTTTTCCCAGCTCCTGGCCAAAATGCTGTGCAGTACGGCTGTATGTCAACGTGCTTACCAATACTCAATCAACTCATAAGCTCACTACCTTTCGGGACGTTTTGGGAATCAGCTATTGCATAATGCCGAGTATATACTCTTTAGCATTCTCATTCTGTCGTGGGCCAGCTCGTGATGACGGTGGCAGAGTTGATTAGACACATTGCTGAATGAAAACAGAGTGCAGGTCTCTCATGTTAGTGCGGGGTGTGCTTGCAAACGGGCACGGGATTGAGGGACCCAACGGCGTCTTCACCATACTCCCCTGTGTTCCACTATATATTCGCTCAAGCTTCCCTCCCCCCTCTCCCTCTTCTTGCGCGGTGCCGTTCCGACTCCTCGTTTCAAGGGAATCAGCTATTGCATAATGCCGAGTATATACTCTTTAGCATTCTCATTCTGTCGTGGGCCAGCTCGTGATGACGGTGGCAGAGTTGATTAGACACATTGCTGAATGAAAACAGAGTGCAGGTCTCTCATTTTAGAAATGTGGCAAATCCCTTGTGTTTTTGGACCCTGACTCCGCCGATCTGTGTGAGGGGTGCCGCTGAATTTCAGAAATGTGTCAAATCCCTTGTGTTTTTAAACCCTGACTCTGCGGATCTGCGTGACGGGTGCCGCCGAATTTCAGACATGTGACAAACCCTTTTTGTTTTTGGACCCTGACCCTACGGATCTGCATGAGGGGTGCCACCGAATGTCAGAAATGTGGCAAATTCCATATGTCATTGGACCCTGACCCCGCCGATCTGCGTGAGGGGTGCAACCGAATGTTAGACATGTGGCAAATCCTTTTGGCTTTTTGACCCTGACCCCGCCGATCTGCGTGAGGGGTGCCACCGAATGTCAGAAATGTGGCAAATCCCTTAGGTTTTTGGACCCTGACCCCGCCGATCTGTGTGAGGGGTGCCACCGAATGTTAGAAATGTTGCACATTCTTTTTGTTTCTGGACCCTGACCCCGCCGATCTGCGTGAGGGATGCCAGCAAATTCCAGAAATGTGGCACATTCAATTGGTTTTTGGACCCTGACCCCGCCGATCTGCGTGAGGGGTGCCAGCAAGTTTCAGACATGTGGCAAATCCCTTTTGTTTTTGGACCCTGACCCCGCCGATCTGCGTGAGGGGTGCCACCGAATGTTAGACATGTGGCACATCCCCTGTGTTTTTGGACCCTGACCCCGCCGATCTGCGTGAGGGGTGTCAAATTTTACCGACCCCAGCAATTCAGACAATACGATTTGGGCGTGGTAGTAATGCCCGTTTTGGGCCTCCCCCCCTCGCGCGGTCCATCAACACGGAACAGTAAGCAGCAAGAAGTCAACAAGGTAAGTACAGTATGCATCAAGAAGCAGAAGTGTAACAGTGGGAACTGGAAGCTGCAGCTGGTACAGGAAACTGCGAAGCTTCGGCCTACAGCCTGGTGGCCCCACAAAGGGGGCCGGCGGATTGTTTTTGTTATAATTTTGTGCGTGTGCGTGTGCGTGTGCGTGTGCGTGTGCGTGTGCGTGTGCGTGTGCGTGCGCGCGCGCGCGCGTGCGTGCGTGCGTGTGTGTGTGTGTGTGTGTGTGTGTGTGTGTGTGTGTGTGTGTGTGTGCGTGCGTGCGTGCGTGCGTGTGTGTGTGTGTGTGTGTGTGTGTCTGTGTGTGTGTGTGTGTGTGTGTGTGTGTGTGTGTGCGTGCGCACGCTCTGAGCAGCCCGCCGCGTGCCGCGCCCGCCCGCTCGGTGACGTTCTCCACCTCGACGCGGCGCGCGAGGACGCGACCGCCAAGAGGCGTGTGTTTTTCCATGTCTTCGTGCTACGTCCCCGCTTGAGAGTTCCAGCATCGGACGGCGCGTCACCTCTCCGCCATCCACGCCCGCCGGGATGGTGATGCCCTCCTCCACAATCTCGGGCTGCGTCCCCGTTTGAGAGGTCCAGCGTTGGGCGGCGTGTCGCCTCCCCGCCTTCCCGGCGCCCTCGTGGCCACAGGTGGGCCCTCCTCGCGATTGCGGTCAGGGCAGCAGCGGCCGCGGCGCGACTCTCGTCGAGGTCCTGGCCAGAGCGCGCGTCCGGACAGGTGTGGTCTGGGGGCCGCCTCTTTGGCCCCCGACCCCAGGCCCCGGACGTGCTGGACAGGTCGAATGGGTGAGTCTTCGCCTGCCTCCCCTCCCCGCGCTGGCTCAAGACGGCCCGAGCCAAGTCGACGCTCTTTCGTACCCCCTTACATTCCCGTACCCCGTCAAATTCCCGTACTTCACATACTCCACAGCATCAGTCCCCATACCATACGTCTACACCTTTGCGCCTGATTGTGATGTCGACATCTCTGCAGTGCCCTCAATCGCACAGCGTGGATCATCAGGTTTTAGGCGCACAGGTTGTGTGCAGCGCTTGTGATACTGGCATTCCTCCGCCCAAGTTGTTCATGATCTGCAAAGGGGAGCTATGCGGATACACTCTCTGCATGAAGTGTGCAGGAAATCAAGCAGGAAAGCATGTACAGAAGAAGCGCCAGACAGGAGAGGGAGTCGTTGTGGTGCACTCCCCTCCCAAATCGCAGGGCTCAGCGGGGTCAGCGCACACTGTCGATATCTCGACCCCCGTCAGAGCTGCTGACAGACGTGCTCAGGCCAAGATCTCCTCCCCACTCAACACCATGGACGACGGCACGGCCCTCGATCGTGACGTGGTTGCTGCACGACAAGCCGCATTTGAAGAGACGCTCGACGACGCCGAAGGACCAGTTACTGCAACCAGTCTCAAGGCAATACTTAAGATGCACCTGAAGCCCATTCAAGACGACATTGCTGCCATAAAGACGAATGCGGTATCTATGGAGGAGCCAAACGATACCTTGAAGCCTTTGGAGTGCAAAGTTGACAACCTCGACGGCAAAGTACAAGCTTTGAAGGAGTCCATGACCACAGACATCGAGAACATGCATATACGCACGACGAACATGGACAATGAATTGAAAGCGAGATTTGCATATATATATATATATATATATATATATATATATATATATATATAGATAATCATTTTGGACATATTCCAACCAACACTCCAAGATCTTTTTTTTTCCGGGGCTTCCCATGCCACGGCAGACGCATACCACTACCAAGGCAAACGTGCAGTGACCGCCATCATCGGCAATTTGGATAATTTCGACACGACCACGTCTGCTTGCGCATGTATCCACGAACAGCTGTCTTTGATGAGTGGGCCGATCCCCGTCAACATATACACCAAGGGCGAGTTCAAAAACATCATGTTTGCAGAGTTCGGCACCATGCTCCACCGAGACACTGCGGTAGCCTTAATTCGCAATGGGAATCTACGGCGTGCAGACAAAACCGTATGATCAACACCGGACAGACAGCCATCCGACCGTGCAGCCAGAAAGTTTGCATTCGGACGAAATACGTCCTAAAGAACCACACGAACACTCCGTACACCATCAGGGTCTCAGATCAGTCTCCTTACGAAGTGGTAGTGGGCGGAGAACTGGCGGTTACAGCAAGAACACGCGACGCACACATCGACGCAGAATGGGCCGACAGTTGGAAACCGTGGAGCGACTTGCAGAGCCACCCGAAACTACTTGATTTGAGTGCTGCATGTGATGGTTTGCTCCAGCGGGCCGCTGCGGGGACAAAGGGCGGATCCAAAGGGGGCTCCAAAGGCAAAGCGTCAAAGTAGGACGCGCGGCGGGCATCAGAGACGGTTGTCACTGATCTCGATGCCACGACGCCACAACCAAACATACCTTACGCAACATTTTTCTCTCAGGCTTGTCATTCATCCTATTTGTTTGGTGGCCGTCTTTACGTGGGCGAAGAGATGGGCAAATATACCGTCACCGCAGCCTCTCCACGCAACGATCCGATCCCGCATTCGGTCTCCACCTTCCGACCGCGGTCCCGCACTGCGACCTCTTCTTGTGCTTCGCCATCAGCAGGTGCGCCGGCAAGACCGACCTTGACTCCGACTCCAGGAGCTTGGCCGTCAGGTGCCGCCCAGGAGAGGCCTCAACCACGCCGCTGTGCGTCTACTCCTGCTGGTACCTTTTTGCTCTTATTCCTTGCGTTTCACCACTAGCGGATGCAGAGACAACGCTGGTGACATTGACTCCGACACCAAGGTGGGTATATGTCTTCTCAGACGACCTGCGACGGTCAGATCACCATCGGGACTTCCGACCGACGGCGTCCGATCGCCGATTTCAGTCTGAATTCGTTGACATCCAGCCTCCAAATTTCGGACCTATCCCTCCGACTCCAGCTCCCGACTCCGGCCCATCCTTG